ATGCAGTCTTCAAATGAACTTTTAATAAAATATTATCGGTGAATCTTATAAATTTTATTTTCTAAAAACTGCGGCGCAGCTCAAGTGAAAGAACAAAGAAGAATAACCTTTTATATAATACCTAGGCTAACCTAGATAAAGAACCAAGGCCCACTCATATATATTGGGTTTTGGTAAATTATTTTTAGTTAACACAAATTTATGGAACATCTATATATTCTACTAGTGTATTATCCGCACCCTGCGAGGGATAGTGATACTGAAAAAAATTTATATATCATATTTGAGATTTAAGAATTAGTAGATAAAAAATGCAATATATTTAAAATACAATAAAAAATATAGCTAATACATACACCTCCAATTTGTTTTATGAAGTCATTTGTATTATGTATTGCCTTGCGCGGGATAAGAATAACAAAAGAACAGTATTTTAACATTAAACGTTAAGCATTTACATTCATCACAAAATCAATTATTTATTAATAATTCATAAATCAAGACGATTAAAAAAAACTTATAAATAGTTAATCTTTTCTTTCATCAATAAATCCAATATTTCATTAAAAAAAATAAATCTAACACTTAAGTATTCGTATATTGTACAAACCATAAAATCAAAGTGAGCTTTTTACATGAGAGCATGGTCGATGTTGAGCCCGTCATATTTTCACTTATGCAGCTTCGATGGATCTCACTTTTCTTGAGATTGTGTTTAATCTGTTTACCAGTAAACATAATATATGTTGTAAGAAAAAAAATGGCAGAACTGAAACTCATTTGTGCCATTTATGAAGATTAGAACAAATTTTCGAATGAAATTGTTAACTTAAAAGCTATGATATTGCAGAGAGTTTGAAAAAACATTAGCATTGGGCAATGCTTGTCTCTTTGACCAAACGTCGAAACACATACATTAAAACATATTTTGTCTTTACAAAATTTAAAAATTATTATTTTGATTATTTGTTAGTTTTACAATTTACTATACCGAGACTAAACCATATGGAACACAAATCGGAAAATTCACAAACATAAAAAAGAAAATGACAATCGCATGGTTTCTTATTTTCTTCATCCACCATTGCTCTCTCTCTTTTCTTACTCTTTTCATCTCTTCCTCGACAAAGGAATGTTGCTCAAAATCGAATATGCGAAAATTATTTATTCGCC